TCACCTGGTAGTCTCAGAGTTGTTCCGAAAACCAGTTCCGCAGCTGAACACTGTGCGTCAGTTTTGACAGATGTTCGTATTCCCAACATAACTAACGGTAGGAATTCTGTCCACTGATTGGGGTTTGAGTGAGATATAAGGGCGGTTTTTAGCTGACGGTGAAAACGTTCTACCATCCCATTAGCCTGAGGATGATATGCAGTGCAGCGTATCCTATTGGAGCCTAGAAGTTTAGCCAAGTTATTAAATAGTTCGGATTCGAATTGCGCTCCTCTATCCGTCGTTATTGTTATGGGTGTACCAAAAATGGTTACCCAGTTCTGCATGAAGACTTTGGCTACTGTTTCCGCTGTGATGTCCGCTATCGGGATGGCTATAGGGAATCTGGTAAATCGATCTATGCATGTAAAAAGATAATTAAAACCGTTTGAATGTGGTAAAGGACCTACCAAGTCGATGTGCACATGGGCAAAACGTGCATCTGGTTGCGAGAAAACACCTATGGGTGAATTTGTGTGACGATTAATCTTTGATTGTTGGCATGCTGAACACTCTCTAACCCATTTGTGTACATCCTTCTGCAAATTCGGCCATATATCTCTGGCATTGATTAGTTTTGATGAAGCTTTCGCGCCAGGATGAGAGAAAGAATGAAAGTTATTACATATCAACTTTCGCATATTTTTGGGAACGAAAGGTCGCGGCATTGCCTTGGTCGTGTCACAATAAATTAGAATACCATCGATAGGTGATGGGAATTGTTTTAAATTAAGACTTGAATTGTTTGTTTTAAGTAGGTTTTGTAATTCTAGGTCCTGCTCTTGTTCGTGTCTTAACGTCTCGAAGTTTACTGTAGACAGCTGTAGCACGTTCATTTCTAGTCTGGATAAAGCATCTGCCGCCTGATTGTCCTGACCTTTGACATGTCGGATATCGCTTGTGAACTGTGATATATAGTCAAGGTGTCGGACTTCTCGAGGTGAGTATTTATCGGCTCTCGCTTTTAATGCATTCGTCAGTGGTTTGTGATCCGTAACGATTATACATTCCCTACCTCCTAACACGTGTCGGAAGTGTTTAATGGTCAGGTAGATTGCAAGAAGTTCTCGCCCGAAGGTAGAATACCTTGTTTCGGCTGGAGCGAGTCTTTTCGAGAAGAAAGCAATTGGTTTCCAGGCGTTTTTAACCAGTTGGTTAAGGGTACCGCCTACTGCTTTATCTGAAGCATCCACCATCAAAGCAAGTGGGGAAAGATAATTCGGATATATCAACGTAGTTGCTTGAGCCAGTTTATCTTTAAGCTGTTTAATAGCTTCGATGGCGTCAGTAGACAGTTTGAATTCCTTTGGTTTTCCTTTAAGTGAATCTGTCAAAGGTTGCATTAATTGTGCACAACCTGGTATGAATCTGCGATAAAAGTTAATTAGGCCTAGAAAACTCCTCAGTTGTGTTAGAGAACTAGGTATGGGGTATTGTTTGATGGTATCCACTTCTTTTTTTATAGGTTTAATCCCTTCTGGGCTTATTGTGTGACCGGGAAATTCTAAAGCTTGAACACCGAAAACACACTTACTTTGATGTATGTTTATTCCATGTTCATCCAGTCTTTTCAACACTGCTTGTACATGCTGTTCGTGTGATTGCAAATCGGGGCTGGCAATTAACAAGTCGTCTATATACCCCTGCGCAAATGGCATATCTCGAAGTAGGTTATCCATGAATCTTTGAAATGTCTGTGCCGCATTTCTCAGGCCGAATGGCATGCGTACAAACTCGAATAAGCCAAAGGGTGTAGTAATAGCTGTCTTGGGAATATCTTCATCAGCCACCGGGATATTGTGATATGCCCTGACTAGGTCAATTTTAGTGAATATGTTCATACCCTGTAAACCGTTGGTGAAATCTTGGATATGAGGTATTGGGTACCTATCTGGTACGGTTTGACGGTTTAGGGCTCTGTAATCCCCGCACGGTCGCCAGTCACCTTCATTCTTCTTTGGGACCATATGCAAAGGGGATGCCCATTGACTATCAGAGGGACGGATAATACCCAATTGTAGCATATAATCAAACTCGGCCCTAGTGATTTTGAGCTTATCTGGTGCTAGCCTCCTGGGTTTTGCAAACACTGGTGCACCTTCGGTTTTGATAGTGTGACTCACTTTTAGTTTGTCCTTAGAAGGCTGTGGGTTTGGTTTAGTTAAGTTTGGAAATTCGGCAAGTATATCTTGGAATTTCGCTGTTGTTGCTGAAGGAGTTTGAATCAAGTTAAGAGAGCTGATGTGACTTTCTTTGCCTTTTGTGTAATACGAAGTTTCTTTTAGTGTTAATCGCCGTTTTTTGGTGTCAACTAGAAATTCGTATCTCTCTAGAAAGTCCATCCCCAGTATTGCCAGATCTAAGTCGGCTACCGTGAAAACCCAAGGGAATTGCCTCCTGAACCCCAAATCTAGGGTTAAAGTTTTCTGCCCAAATGTCGCGATTTTAGTTTTATTTGCAGCTTGAAGTGTAATTGATGATGTTTCTCGACTAATCTCAGTTTTATTTTGAGGGATGATGCTAAGAGCAGCGCCAGTATCCACCAAGAAATTCAAGCCAGAGTTTCTGTCTCTAACATAAAACAAGCGACTGTTTAGGCGCCCCTCCTCAGTCGTCGCGACCTGGGGAGGGGTTACTCGTTTCCCGCTGTCTTAGAATTATGCTTAGGCCAGGCGCATGGTTGCATGCACTTGGTTGAGTTGACACCAAACTTCCAGTGGTACCAACAAAACTGCCCAGATTGTCTGGACATTTGTGACCTGTTTTGTGACTTGGATCGTGGTCGTTGTGGTGACCTGCTCCTGTTTCTATGACCCATTTGCATTCTGGTGACAGCCTCAGTGAGACTCTTAACACTCGCATTGAGTCCTTCTATTACGGGGTCTTTTGCTGATCCTACTTTTTGTGTGTGATTTATTGTGCCTGATCCAGTTGGAGGACCTCTTTCCATTATTCTGTCGGCTATACGCGCCAAATGAGATAATGAGGTTTCAGGATCCTGTGCATCAAAACAGTGTTGGACGTAGCATGGGAGAGCTTGTATCCATTCTTGTTTTAGGACTGCTTCACCCACTGTGTTATCACCCACTAAGGCTTGGAGGTGACGCAAAAACTGTGACGGCGACCGATCACCTAGTGTTTCACCTTGAAAAAGTCTTTGGATTCTTTGACTATCTGATAATGATAAACGGTTCATTATCTCTCGTCTTAAGATGGTGTATGGTTGTGGTGATGGTGGACTTAAAATCAAGTCACGGACTTCTTTGGCGACTGAAGGAGGAAGGAAAGAACACAAGTCTCTATAGCGAATCCCTTCAGATTTGATATTGTGTCTCGTGAAACAATGCTCTAGTTGAGCAAACCACAACTCAGGATCACTACGATCAAATTCTGGAAGTCGGGATTTCGTAGTCATATAAGTGTCTATCTCCACTGGTGACAAATTCTCCAGATTATGGGTTTCTATTGAGACTGACATGAGGTATGTGACAAATATAGCAATAAAGTTAGCACAAAAAGTGGTTACTATAACACGAATAACTTAAGATAATACGGAATAAACCAGTTATATACTCAAATTAGTTTACGGATAATCAGGTCTACTTTTACGATTAAGTAAAAAAATGTTAATAACAGAAATGAGGTTAAATTTGTGTTCAAAAAGGGCTCACCAATTTCGTGCCTTAAAGTAACCCTCGTGCTACTGATAGAAGAAACCAGACAAGTAGTGAATAGGTCTTTATTTCGATCTTAGCGCGGTCACAGTGAAGCGTGGGATTATCTGTTCAGACAAACAAAGGCTCTCAACATTCAATATAAGATAATAGGGAATATAACGTTTATACAAAACAAGGAAGTGAATTAATACTTGAACAATACTGTTTTGGCATATGCTTGGTTGTTTGGGGTCAACTCTTAACCAACCAACCTAAGCTGTTACAAACTCAAAGTTATCTAGCTGGGAAACTGTGCTTAGTGGAGTGCCCCAGGGTACAGTTTTGGGGCCAGTGCTATTCCTTTTGTATGTAAATGACCTTCCTTGTCTCCTATCATCATCGGTCTTGCTATATGCTGACGATGTCAAGATAAGGAAAACGATACGATGTAAGAGTGATAGCTTAGAACTTCAAAATGACCTGAAGAAATTATCTGAATGGTCTCAAACATGGCAGTTGCCGTTAAATACTTCCAAGTGTGTTGTGATGCACATCGGTCATCAAGGCACAGATACATACACGATGAATAACACTGAGCTACCTGTCGTCCAGACATATAATGACTTAGGAGTTATCGTTAGTCAAGACTTAAAAACTACTGCACACTACCGTGCAATAGCCGCCAAAGGTATTAGAACGTTATGGTCAATACGTAGAGCTTTTAGTCATGTCGACGCCAAAACGTTTTTGACTTCGTATACAGTGTTCGTACGTCCCAAACTTGAGTACTGCGTACAAGCGGCTAGCCCCTGCTTAAAAAAGACGGTGAACTTCTGGAAAAGGTTCAGAGAACGGCGACTAAGCTGATTCCCGGAATAGCGAAGCTTCCGTATGAATCTCGACTGGCCAAGCTGAACCTTTTCCCGTTGTCTTATCGCAGAACTAGAGGCGACTTGATTACAGTTTTCAAATTGCTTAGTGCCAAATTTGCACCTGATATGCCCTCATTTTTCTTGTCTTCCAAAACAGAGAATTTACGAGGACACTCCAAAAAAGTTCATAAGCCGAGAACAAATTACTTGTCAGCTGACTATCGACTTTCCCATCGAATCATCAACGAGTGGAATTCACTACCTCAGCACGTGGTTGAGACTCCATCCATCGACTCTTTCAAAAGAAAGTTGGATCAACTGAGAGGCCACCATTGCCAGGACTAACATAGGCCATCGAGCCTCCTGTCCTTCCCAAACTGAAACTGAACTGAAACTGATATCCTGGATATTGGATACGTAGCGGGTAATTAAGTGACCCGCTACAATGTGGCTTTTGTGACTCTTTTTAAATTTCTTCACTTTAAGTTGGGTAGGTTTTCAAATCATTGTATACAGATAAGGCAAAAATTTAGTTTGGGACACTTTAATTCAGTAATACATCTGGATGCTTGTAGATTCTTTTCTAGCTAACTGAATGACATCGATGTCATGATAGATGTACATGACAGATCTGTCATGTACCACGTATGTGAACTTTATCAACTCAGGTATTGTCTTCACCTTTGATATAACGTATATTGAACGAAAACTCGAACAGTCCAGCTGTAAAATTTCTTGAGAAGGATTAGTCATTGTCAGCTTTAAAGGCATACGACAGCTGACACGTAGGCCTTTAGAGGTCTATGGTTTGTCAATATTACAAGATTTTCACCTTGGAGTAACTTAGTAAAATGTTTAAAATGCTCAGATAGAGCAAATGATTAGCCCTTATAGGGTCACCGGTGCATTTTATTGAATGTTTGGGTTTAGAGCCTGGTATTAGCACGACAAATTTTGTGTTACCTATGAAAAATATGGTCTATGTGGCGGATTGAATTTTAATATTAATACCAAATCATGCTCCACTTATAAAATTTATTAGTGGCTCCTAATCTCGTGCCGATTTCAATCATTTCCACTTCGGCATGTGGCGGTGCTACGTTCGCAATATTCATCAACATTAGCTAATACTATAGCAAAGTTAAAAGCATTAAAGATGTCTCTTCATAGTACATCCACGAATAATTGTCGGGGAAGTGTTTTTAGGCCGAAAATGTCCTAAAATGCCAGGTGGCAGGCTGGAAGAAAGCTAGGGGCTACCAAAGATTGGCACCAGGCTATGAAGGTATTAACAATTGTACGGAGCCACGTTAATAGGTGTAGATTACCTGGTTTCGGTCCGCTCGACTACCAGAACCACTGGTTGCGAGCTTTAAATGCCACAGCCTAAGAATTTTTGCAGTGGCCCAGGTTAATTCATTCTATGTCTTTCCCCAAATCCTGGACTTCTGAATTACCTAAAATTGTCTGTATCTTCATTACCTAATCTTTTCTATTACTACTGATACTGTTACTATCTCTGCTACTCTGAGATGCCCCCAAACGCCCTGGTACAGCCGAGAGTGGGGAGAGTCCGCTCTCCCTCTCGAAATACTCTCACATGGCCACGCGTATATTGCCTCTGCCAGGGAAGTCCTACTCACTGCCTTCTCCTGGCGGTGGTGTTGTTTACGAAATTAAGAAAATGAAAAGCGAATATCCGGTGCTTTAACCGAGTTGGTGGATACGGCGAGTCCACCTAAGGGAGTTGGAAAACCCTGATTCCAAACCAGTGATGCACATGGGCTCCGTATCCTGATGGAACAAATGGCGTACGAACCAATTGTTGGTCACCGGCTTCCATGGGACTGCATCTCCTTACGATGCTCCACTGCCTTGTGGACCAGACCTTCAGGTCCAAGGCTCTGGGTGTGGCCCCCTAAGAAAACGACCTGGTTCGGTTTGGGCACTCGGGCAGTATCACAGCCCTCACACAAATCAAATGAGATTTGTGTGGCGCATATGTATTTGGTGCCTCCTTGTACCAATATCTATGTGTTAAAATAAATAATAAACTCTGAGATTTGACTTGACAATATCATCTTTTTGTGCTAATGGGTTTGGCAACTTGAACCGATGTACACACGTACTGGGTTCTACTCTGTGCATAACTGACTGACATAAAACTCATCTATTTATGTAGTCGAAAATATGATAACAAAGCAATAAATCGTGTGACAACTCAAAAGTTGTTTAAGACTTCCCGTTTTGGGAAACTCTATGACTAGACAGTAGCAGTTACTGACCAACTTCCTAGCCACCTATTTTGTTTTTATTTTATTTATTTGTTTAAACACATTGATGCAAGGAGGCATCAAACAAATATGCGCCACATAAATTATTCGATTTGTGCGGGAGCTGGGGTACTGCCCGGATGCCTAAACCGAAGCAGGTGGTTTTCTTGGGGGGCCACACCCCGAGCCTTTACCACAAAGGTCTGATCCAGAAGGCAATGGAGCAACGTCAGAAGATGCAGTCCCATGGTAGCTGGTGACCAATAATTGGTTCATAAGTCATTTGTTCTTTCAGGATACTGGAGCCCATGTACACCATTTGTTTGGAATCAGGGTTTTCCAACTCCCCTAGGTGGACTCTCCGTATCCACCAACTCGGTTAAAGCACCCCCGAATGCCCTGGTACGGCCGAGAGTGGGGTGAGTCCGCTCTCCCTCTCGAAATACTCTCACACGGCCGCGCGTATACAGCCTCTGCCAGGGAAGTCCTACTCATTGCCTTCTCGTGGCGGGGGTGTTGTTTACGAAAATGAAAGGACGAAAAGCGAATGTCCGGCGCTTTAACCGGATTCCAAATCAATGGTGCACTTGGGCTCCGTATCCTGCGGGAACAAATGGCGTATGAACCAATCTTTGGTCACCGGCTACCATGGGATTGCATCTCCTTACGATGCTCCACTGCCTTGTGGGTTAGACCTTTAGGTCAAAGGCTCGGGGAGTGGCCCCCTAAGATAACCACCTGCTTCGGTTTGGGCACCCGGGCAGTATCACAGCCCACACACAAACGATGAACTCTATGTCTATGGCAACTACTTTTCTCGCTCCGAAAAACAATCAATCGATTCAAATAATTATCATTACTATTATTGTCATTATTAATACTATTATTATTACTATTATTGTCATTTTTATTATTATTATTATTATTATTATTATTATTATTATTATTATTTTCCACATTATTCACCCTCTTTTATACTTATACAGCGGCTCGTCTTTGGTGGAAATCCGACTGTATCTAAACGTTCTCGAGTCACTGTCCGGTCGAAAATTGTATGTTACCATCGAATATGAGTACTGAAGCAGTTTTTCTGAAACCACGTGCGCCATTCAAACTGGCTGCCTTCAACGTTCGCACACTTATGCAGGTTGGTCAACAGATAGGGCTGGCTATGTCTTTGGAAAGTCTTAATATCGATGTCTGCTGTCTATCCGAGACCCGTATTCAAGACTCTGGTGAAGTGCTACAAATTCGCTCTCCATCTGTCACTTCAAAAAGCTTGTTTTACGTGCGCTTATCCGGGGACCCTGTGGCATCTTCGTCTGGTCTTGCTGGCGTTGGTGTCGCACTAAGCGCTAGAACTGAGGCAGCACTAGTCGATTGGATCCCCATTAACAGTCGGTTATGTGCTGTTAGATTAGAAAGTTCCATCAAAGTGAGGAGAAATCGGCGTGAGAAACGATGTCTTTTCGTCATCTCCGCCTATGCCCCGACAGATTGCAGCCCGGATGCAATCAAGGATGAGTTTTACCACCAGTTATCTGTTCTTCTCCAGAAAGTGCGTTCGACAGATATTGTAGTACTAGCCGGAGACTTGAATGCTCAGGTCGGGCGTCTAGGCACAGAAGAGAGTCGTTTAGGTGGCCGATGGGGACTCGTTGGTTGCAGGTCAGATAACGGGGACCGTCTACTGCAACTGTGCACAGACCACAATCTGTTTCTGGCTAGCACTAACTCTCGGCACAGTCATCGCCGATGTGCCACCTGGCGTCCTCCCTCTGCATCTCAAGCCTGGACTCAGATTGATCACATCGCGATCAGCTACCGCTGGCGTGGTTGTGTACAAGACTGCCGCTCCTTTTGGAGTACCTATCTGGACTCTGACCATGCCTTGGTCTGCGCCAATCTTGTCTTACTTTTCAGTGGACAACGAAGTGACCACCAAAAGATTGATGTTAGCAAGCTGGTTGCAACTTCTGTTGCAAGTAAGTATCGAACCGAGCTAGCCTCTAGGCTAGCTACCACTCCACCGAAAAGTATAGATGAGCATTGGTTTCAACTTCATGACGCCATGAAAATGGCGGGAACAGTCAGTTGTGGGTTTGCGAAACGTCCCGCTTATAAGCACTGGGTTTCTTCTGGTTCCTTACAACTCATTGAAGCCCGTCGGTCTACTCCGGGTGACCGTGAGTTTGACCATAAACGAAGGAAGTTACGTGAGGAAATTGGGCAAAGCTTGCGTAAGGACCGAGAAGCCTGGTGTTCGAAGCGTGCTAATGAGCTGGAAGCAGCAGCTGCATCTGGTAACTACCGGAAGCTCTTCCAGCTCATCCGAGCCACTGGCAGCAAGAAGTCTGGTGTGAGTGAAACAATCTGCGAGGATGATGGGATGCCAATCACTAACATCCATCGACGTCTTGGACGGTGGGCAGAATTTTTTCGAAGGGCAGTTCAACTGGCCTGCTGCTCCGGCAACATCGGTCAGACTGTCCTGCCCTCCATGGCCGGTGACGACTGATCCACCAAACGAGGAGGAAGTCCGCAAGGAACTCCAACTCTTGAAGCGTTACAAATCACCTGGCCCAGATGACTTACCTCCGGCTCTTTTTAAAGATGGTGGTGACTTTTTGACTAAGGAATTGACGACGTTGTTTACCAAGGTTTGGGAACTAGAGGGTGTACCGACGTCATGGAATGAGTCGATAGTTGTCCCTATCTTTAAAAAGGGTTCACGTCGTTCCTGCAACAACTATCGGGGGATAAGTCTACTTCCGATTGCGTCCAAGCTATTGGCTTCCGTCACACTTCGTAGGTTGTTCAAAACTCGAGAAAGATTGACTCGCGAGGAGCAGGCTGGGTTTCGTTTTGGTCGAGGATGTATTGATCATATCTTCACCCTCCGCCAAATGTTAGAACATCGCCATTCTTATCAAAGGCCAACGATCGTAGTGTTTCTTGACATCAGGGCTGCCTTCGATTCGTTGGACAGGACTGTTCTCTGGGATTGTCTATTGAAGAAGGGTGTGCCTGAGAAGTTTATTAACATCCTGAAAGCCCTATATACAAACACCTCAGGTAGAGTGAGGGCATACAACCACCTTTCTCCATTGTTCCATTCAAGCAGTGAGATTAGACAGGGCTGCTCAATCTCACCATTCCTCTTCAACTTTGCCATCGACGACATTCTGGAAACAGCTCTGATGAATGTAAGTAATGGTGGTGTGGATCTGTTGCCTGGAGAAAGACTTCTCGACCTTGAGTATGCGGACGATATTGTCTTACTGTGCGATAATGCCCAAGGCATGCAATCCGCACTTAATCAGTTGGCAATCAGTGTCCGTAGGTATGGTATGTGCTTTGCACCTTCCAAGTGCAAAGTACTTCTACAAGACTGGCAGAATTCCAATCCTGTATTCACCCTGGATGGTGAGCAGATAGACGTAGTCGAGAAGTTCGTGTATCTGGGTAGCTGCATAAGTGCTGGTGGGGGTGTGAGTGATGAGATCAATGCACGTATAGTGAAAGCTAGAGCGGCTTATGCCAATCTGGGCCATCTTTGGCGCCTTCGTGATGTTAGTCTGGCTGTAAAAGGTCGGATCTACAACGCGTCGGTGAGAGCAGTTCTGCTCTATGCTTGTGAAACCTGGCCTCTCCGAGTTGAGGACGTTAGACGACTCTCTGTGTTCGATCATCGCTGTCTCCGAAGGATTGTTGACATTCAGTGGCAACACCATGTCAGTAATGCAGAGGTTCGGCATCGTGTGTTCGGGCACAGAGATGATAATTCAATTGGTGTCACCATCTTGAAACACCGACTTCGGTGGCTTGGACATGTTCTCCGAATGTCGTCCCAGAGAATTCCACGTCGTGCATTGTTTGCCGACTCTGGGACTGGTTGGAAGAAGCGGAGAGGTGGTCAGTGCATAACATGGTGTCGTGGTATGAAAGAAAGCTGCAAAGGACTGGCTTGTGTCGGTTTTTCACGGCTCCCTGGTTGGGGTCCGAGAGATGGTGCTACACAGTGGCTAGAGACGTTATCAGATATGGCTGAGAATAGAAGCCAGTGGCGATCCTGCTGTAACATTCTTTTACTTTCTTCATAAAAAGTGGTTGTGTCTCCCTTACCTGAAAGATTTCTTCCAATTGTACCTTTGCGTTCCCTGTTTACTAGCACATTACCTTACACCAATCTCTTCGTTATTGTTCTCTCTTTTTTGTGCTCCTTAGCTTCTTTTTTTTTCTTTCTTTGTATTCCTCTTCGAATATTCATTGTTCTGTGTGGCGCATATATATTGGCGCTCTCTTGTACCAATATTCATGTGTCCAAATAAATAGATAAATAAACCGGACATTCGCTTTTCGTCCTCTCAATTTCGTAAACGACCCTCTCCCGCGATATGACTTCAGGTCCCCATTTCCTGGTATACAGATGAGTAGATTGGCATTATTAATTTGACACCAACCTGGCGGCCTATAACAAAGAAAAGAAAGTAATCTCTAAAAAACAACGCTGTTGGAGGACAGCTGTTTATTTCGGACCTTGATATTCGGCGTCAGTTTAGTTGGATGATTATAGTACCTGGTTCTGATTCTGCTATTTCCGGTGTGGTTTTTTGAGGGTTTTCAATCTGCTAGTTAATGTTAACTACCGGGAGCTTGCTGATTTCCGAGCTCACTTACATGTCCATCCAACTTTTTGATTGAATACACAGAATTAGAATTAATACGTCATTGGACGGTGCTTTAGGCGTGATCATTCAGCAGCATTCAGAAGCCATAAAATCAAAACATCAGGTTGGTAGTCTGAAGCACTTTTGCATTATATGATACACCAAAGGTTAGCCAGTTAAGTCTTGGACTCGGGGCATACCACGTGGTAAACTCGCCGCTGCTAACTTGAAGTTCTGGTAATACAATTAAGCATTATCCGACCTTTAAGTACTATCACTACATATAGTAATAGAGTCGAAGATTAGTGTCTTTATGGGGCCTATCGAATTTCAAACAACTCGAAGATTGCTGACATATTCTATTCCATGTATTCATGATTTTTCATTTGCATTTAATAGACAGCAAATATTCACTGAGGCGGATTTAGCTAAAGTTAGTCGGCAATAACTTAGAACTTCGTACTTACTTACATCAGTTCAAGTTGCCATACCACATTAGGACACAGATACAATTGTCGATTTAAATCCCTTAGTGGTAGAGGTAGTAAAAGTATAAGCAGTAATCGGAAAGACTAAGGTTTGAAGATGTTATTCAAAGAGTATAATCCCGTGAAATAAATTTCGAAAGAAAAAAAAGAAAGGGACATGAAGAATTCAGAAGATTATAATTTAGGAGAACACAAAGAGTGGATGCACGTGCACCATTGCAAACGATTTTTAGACACGTCATTCAATGTCTCTAACCATCGGTTGCTATCATCTCGCGGATCCCAACCATTTAGTCTACACCTACCAACATGACGCAGTCCACTTGTCAGTGACTTCATGGACTTGTGCCATGTTTTGGTCTGACCACTCCTAGCTTTCTCCTAACCTACTCCTACACCATAAAGCATCGCTCATCGGGGCAGTCGGTGGTTGGGCATAGGATTTATCTAGATCTCTTCATTGGATATCAATAGTTTGAAAGATATTCAAAAGATGTCGAGAAGTTGAAAGAACTTTGATCCTTTTGAGTGAACTCAGTTTTTGGTGTTTTCTAATAACATGTTTTCTCAAGTATCGTTCATTTCGTATTAATTGTTATTATTTTATCACTTTTTATGCATGTTTAAGTGAAGATCTGAGTTTTTATTCGCCTATCACTAATAACGTTTGTATTAATTTTTTGATCTGAGTCCCCAACTTGGGGCACTATAGTATATTTTATTTTCATCAAAAGTGAGTACAGTTATCTCGTGCTTACGTTTTCTGTTTATTTATACAGCTTAGCATGAAAGCTAAGCTCCATACTTTATTTGGTTACTATTGTTATAATAATATTTTTTGACTGACTTCTAATATTCGTACACGTTAACTTTTCCTACAGCATAAAAAACTCTTCATATTGTCGAGCTCACGTCCGCAGCAATGGTTAATGTTCATAAAGGAATTCTCGTCAAGTGGTAATGTGAATATTAATAGTTACCATCTAATTGTTGATTATAATTCAGTGACCCTGCTATGAAACAATTTCTCCTACATTTAGCAGAAAATTTAGTTTTGGGCAAAAATTTCGTACATACGGATTTAGATGACTATCATTTGTTTATCGATGCAGATATTCTTAGTAAACTTCAAGAGAAAGTAGATGGTCTGATGGAGAGTTTATCTTTTCCAATGACTGTTGAAAATGATTGATTTTGTTGTTCCATTTTTGAATGTTCACTGTTCAGTCATCCTACACTTTCCTTGTTTTTGTAAAAATGCGACAATTGTTCTACTGTTTATCAGTATTCTGTGAATGGCGTTATTCCCTATAATCTGACTACTTATACCGTACAATGTCGTATTTTGTAAATAACTAATATGTAAAGATGACTTTCGAAATATACGGTTTTACATTACGACCGTGTTTTGTTTACCTCTCCAACTCATTATTTCTAAACGGTGCTTTAAGTTCACTGATTTCGAGGGGTATGAAACAATGTTGCCACCATCTCGTTTGACACTCGATTTTTTCGAGTCAAATGTCATATATTTCTCACTGTTAATACATCAGTTTATTTATAGACTTCACCAGATCACCTATATTACCCCACTGTCGGTTTCTCTAACGTCATTTCTTTTTTGAACTCATATATTTATCTTTTTTTATTAGTGTGATCTTTCCAGTCACCCTCAAGATTAGAAAACGCGGAGAACAAAAGCAGTTTTTCGGCCGTGGAGTTATTTTTTACCACACGTTTTCAGCATCAGAGCTTATTCTGTGCCAGGAATTACTAGATGATCACAATGTTGGGTGTTTTGTTTGAATTTTTAGGCTATATCTTATGAAGGAAACTGATTACCACTGGTGAAAAACCTCTGAACAGGTTAAATGGACGTACATTTCTCTGTAGTGTCCATTGACAGTTGTACATTTATCGAAGTGTAGTGTACTTGACGAACCTGCAAAAGTTCGAAATCCACTAAGCTTGATCTTAGTGATAGTTTCGGTGCCATAAATTCAAGATAGTCGCGAGAATAAATCAGTAAACTAGGTGAAAAATAATTAGTTATCTCATGGAAAGTAGAAATATGTTCTATTCATTACTGCTTAGTGAGTTTTCACTCTCGTGACAAGGTTTGGTTAGTTTTGTGATAACTTCATCCCTTTAATGATATTTCCTGTTTTCATTACTGACTATCCAGTTATTTTAGTACTTCTTTCCTTTTTCATTCTGGGGTTTGGATTTGTTCATTTTCTGCTCATTGTATACTTTTGGTACTAACTGAGAGGGTCGCACGCTTGTATAACATAATCCCTTTAAGTATATGTTCGAGATATTGGAGGAAAAGGTCGATTTGAAAGTTATGTTATGCATATTTCTTTCTCTCACTACCTCCCATAGATTAAATTTTCACTGAAAATGTTTAGAAGAACAACGTAGGAATCTCAGTTAATATTCGTTAGGTGATATCTGTGGGATCATAAAAACAAGTTCATAATATTATCCGGTATTATTCAGATATTAGGTCAGGTTTGTCTTTCCGTCACATCGTTTAAACCAAACAAAACTACCGAAGTAATGTTGAACACGTATGTGTTTAACGTTATGTAGCTTCTATAAATATATTTTATGAAATGATTAAATGAAGTATTTATTGGTTCATCGTTCAGGTACTACTGTGAAATAATATTGAAAACAATCACTCAAAAGTCTTTGTCTATCTGTGCATTATATTGGATTCTTATTTCAGGTCTGAACAATGATGGCAGATCATACATCACAGATCAAATCACCTGTAGACAATAAGTATAATTCAGACATGGATAATCCGGACAATATGTATGGTTTCTTTGTGATGATTTCTTCCTTCTTAAATCTTCACTAGAGATAACAATAAAGATGGTACAATACGAAGTCTTGAAGAAAAACTCAAATTGTTAGATGAAGAAAAGTTAGATCTTGGTTTGTTTATTAATTTTTTTATATTTTTGGTTTATATATAAATAAATATGTAGAAAATCAAATTTATGCAGCTGAGAAAAAATATCATGAACAATTGGATTCTTATTTAGCGCGTTATATTAATGCAGACTTCAGTTTAGCTCAAATGGAATATATATTGGTGAGTTATCGTGTAATGTGATTTTTGTTTCCACTTTATACGTTCACGTCCAGGTCTAAAGGAATAGTTTACTTGTTTTCATTGAGTAAAATATAGATCAATAATAACTATTGAAATTTCAACAATTAGATTCTGGATTTAAATCGTATTCTCACTTGGTTCAATATAGACTGTCAACAATATCATGTGGTCTCATGCAATTGAAGTGGTGAGACGTTGAGCACCCAGTCTATTTTAACTTACTGAGTTACTATTTAGATATACAGCGTTTTGTTTTTGAATGTAGACTTTTAATTTGGTTGTAGAGTTGCAAACATCTGATATTACGGTTTAGCTGGATATATTACTGTCCTCTTGTTCATTTATCTTCTTTCGACTTAGACTTTAAGCTATATTTAACTAGTGATTTAACGTGGCTACTCAAACCTAGTGAATCGGGTCAACTACATACATTCGATACCCAATGACTACAATTTGGACACTCTTAGCCTTTAGATTATAGCTTATATTATAAGTAAAAATCTCATAGTTGTCTCATCCACTTTTTTAAAGTCAGTTAATTGTTCCTGACAAACATCATTCCGAACAGTGTCACTCACGAAAAATGTTAAAAAACAGTGAATAAGGATTGTCATCATATTATTAGACCAAAACGTTGAAATGCGCTCATAAACAGATATGTTGAGCGTATCGTTAAAACATAGTCATGTCATTTGTTACAGTATGTTGTTCGTAAAAATGACTTACTGAAACTCAAACTACTTATAATTGGTAAGTAGTACGATTAACACAAAACAAATACAAGTATAAAGAAAATAAAGTTTAGAGAATCATAAACAGGTTTATAAAGTTTTTACATCATCTAGTGTATGTTCTTTTGATTTTATTATTCAATAAAAATGCAAATAATAACATAACTGTTTAATACTATCTACATTTTAAAATATAAAGCCTACTAAAAGAGCGAAATTTAGTAAAGTACATGCATCAACAACATCTGGTTATTCATCAAATTCTATTGGTATTGATGCTAGTTCATTAATTACATTGAAACATTTCTTTGAACCTTCAATGAATCTTGTTTATAAAAAATTACATGAAATAACAAAAGAAGCACAAAATAAATATCGACAAAGTAATGATGATATGTTAGCATGGAGATTTTCACCAGAAAGGTAAATACTCATTCATATCATTATTGTTTTTTAACAATACTACTCTTATTACTACTGCTACTCATAATACAATACTAAGGTGTTTTTCACTCACTAAATATTTAAAGAAATAACAAGTTAATAGATAAGAATGAGCTGTATGAAAGTTGTAAGAGATTTTCTGGTCTAACAATTTACAGATGATTGATAAATTCCTTTTAAGTCAAATTAAGAGATTTAGATAATGCGACAAAAAGGCTGAATGTGTATAAAATTGGCTAAGAAAAAAAATCAAGTCTATCGACCCAATAAACGCCAGATGATAGATATCTATCTTCTTCCGTTATCCTGCGAGAACAAATGGCGTACGAACCAATTGTTGGTCACCGGCTTCCATGGGACTGCATCTCCTTACGATGCTCCACTGTCTTGTGGATCAAACCTTCAGGTCGAAGGCTTAGGGATTGGCCCCCTAAGAAAACCACCTGCTTTGGTTTGGGCACCCGGGCAGTATCACAGCCCTCACACATATCGAATGAGATTTGTGTGGCGCATATGTATTTGGTGCCTTCTTGTACCAATATCTATGTGTTAAAATAAATAATAAATAATCTTCCGTTATTTAACAAACAGTTGAAATAGGTTACAAGTCTGATCTTACCTTAACCTTTGTAGTTTTGTATAGATGCTATCTAAAACCAATACTTAGGCTTGATGAATCCCTATTCATATAAAGATTCAAACCAGTTTTGTGTTCGAAAATAATTTATACTTATACTGCACTTACCCTGGTGATATCGATTGGTTATCCATATTCTACTTTTCGTTTATCTTACAATTTATCTAGTTGTCTTTTATTTTTTCATATATAAAGGCTTTAAAAGATACATGAGTGATTAGATTGTTCAAAATATATTGTCTTAATATATTTCAAATAGTTTTGATAAACTCAATCGTCTCATTGCATTTTCTAGGTTTATCAAATGAGTTAATTGTTTTAAACGTTTTGAATTAATAAATATTTTGTTTAAGTGTATCTAAAATGGTAGAATATTTTCTGGCAAGTAACAGTTTTTTGTTTTATAGTTCTGATATTTTGACCTGTTTGTATCAGTTTATATAACTAAAATTTACGTTTGAATTGTACCATTTATGTATTTTCATAAGTCATTGTTATTTTTTTCGGATATCAGTGTGTTTTTAATGAATAATTTATAAACAATTGGATTGGAATTAATTGTACCATACCGTAGGTACGATATGTGCTTTGTACCTTCAAAGTGCAAAGTACTTTTATAAGACTGACAGGCTCTTGGTCCTGCATTTAATCTGGGTAGTGAGCAAATAGAAGTAGTCGAGAAGTTCGTGTACCTGGGTAGCTGCATAAATGCTAGTGGTGGCGTGAGCGATGAGATCGATTCACGTATAGTGAAAGCCAGAGCGGCTTATGCCAATCTGGGCCATCTTTGGAGCCTTCATGATGTCAGTCTGTCTGTAAAAGGTCGGATCTATAGTGCATCGGTGAGAGCAGTTTTGCTCTATGCTTGTGAAACCTGGCCTTTCCGAGTTGAGGATGACTCTCTGTGTCTGGTCATCGTTGTCTCCGAAGGATTGCTGACATCCAGTGGCAACACCATATTAGTAATGCGGAGGTTCGGCATCGTGTGTTCGGGGCACAGCGACGATAATTCAGTCAGTGTCACTATCTTGAAACATCGGCTTCGGTGGCCTGGACATGTTCCACGAATGTCGTCCCAGAGGATTCCTCGTCGTGCATTATTTGCCGACACTGGGACTGGTTGGGAAAGCGGAGAGGTGGTCAGTGTATGATATGGTGTCGTGGTATGAAAGAAATCTGAAAAGGGCTGGGTTTTGTTGGTCCTTCTCCATTCCCTGGCTGGGGTCCGAGAGATGGTGCAACACAGTGGCTAGTGATGTTATCAGATGTGGCTCAGAATAGAAGCCAGTGGCGATCCTACTGTAACTTTTTTTTACTTTCTTCATTAAGAAAGTGGACGTAACTTCTTTAACTAGAAAAATTCTTTCCGGTTGTATCTTTGCTAACTGAAATGTTTATCCCAAATTCAGTCTAATTATTTCGACCAATCAGTATCCAGATTGTCATCAGTGTCCTTGAACGACATTGTTCATTATTCATACAGCTAATTTTCATTGCTGGTGCTGATAAAAAATGACTCTCTCATCCGATCGATTACAGCTGCTACTTGAACGACATTTGGAGTTCTTAATCAAATTCCTCACGCAGCTGCTGAATCACCCATGCTTTGGAGATACGACGGAAGTAGATGGGTTGATTTCTCAGTTGCACAGTGAGCTGGAAAATGATTGCAGCCTCCATGAATCCTCGACAAATCGTATTTCAAACGACACAGCAGCCATTCATGATCCGCCCAGTGGTCCAGAAATGTCCAATTCGGTAACATGCCCTATCGTGGGTTCAAATCCACTGTCCCCGAAACATGTACAGACAGTGAGGTATACAGCTCACACGAAGATCCCCTCGTTTTGCCAGAAAATATGTCACATGCATCAAATAATAGTCAAGAACCTGGTGCAGTTTTGTGGCACGCTGATTATCTCAGTGATCAACTATCTACTAGTGAGATTTTGAAGAAATTCGATGACAATGTTCCAGAAGATCCAAACTCTGATGACTTCGAATTGAATGGCGTTTATCCTCACTATCTGGTCAGTCTTACTGGATTCCCTGTTCAATGTGTTTTAAATGCAGTCAAATTAATTGTAATTTGGGTTTATGAGGACCCAACATTATTTCTCGGGGGAGGATGGACGTGGAAAATTAAAGAAATCTGGATATCAACTCCGGATCTTCAAAAAAAGGGAGGTGTTGGGATATTCAGAAAAATATCCCAATAATTATCATGTTAAGTCTATTGGTGTCCCTGAACTTTAAATGGACATTTCCTATTGGTCAATATTTATTTTACTTATCAAATATTGTACAAATGTTGTTTTCTATTTTATGGTACGATGTGATCTGTTTGATTGTTATATAAACAGAGTATGTCTGAAATATGGTGGTTCATATCTCAGAGGCTGAGACTTGCGTTCTGGACTCAACTGGCTGGGCTAGACAGGGAAGCGGACCAATCAGAGACCTAGGTCGTTCTTACGTGTCTTACGCGTCTTGGGATCGATCGATAACTCGCTAACCTCCAATCTGCAGTCACTCACGTTATAGCAGCTTTCTTCATAACAAGTGGTTGCATTTTCCTTAACTGAAAGATCTCTCCTTATTGCACGTTTCTGTTTCCCCATTATTATTATTATTACACTACCATACACTAATCTGTGATCGTTATTCTCTTTTCTCCCTTTTTTCTCTCTTAAACGCACCTCACATAATTTTTTCTTGCCACTCTCATTGTTATTGTATGGCGCATGTATATTTGGTGTCCTTTTATACCAATTTTTTGTGCTAAAATAAATAAAATAAATAATTGGATTGGAGAGACACTCTCCAGTTCATGCACCGAATATACCAGTTCTTAAGATCTTTATTTACTGTAGGACTGTTCCAGTTACATGTTTTATGTTTCCATTGAAAAACAATAATGTTGTCAACATAGTATTGATAAAATGTGGCTAGAAGTGTTATCTAGAAAGCTCATTTTGGTTTGTTTAGTGTTTGTCAGCTGGATGTACTCGCATCCAAGAGTTAAAGTCCACTCTGAAACTCCAACCCAGGACCGTTTGCTTCAAACGTTATCGTGTTATCCTTTTAGCTACTGAGTCCGGATAGCCACTCACTGATGCAACGGGTATGAGATTTAATTCCCTAAAATGTAAAATGACAAATGATGTATGTTAGTTAAAACAATAACTTATTGTCATGCATCCTGTTATAATAGTAGACATAAATCGGTGTTTAATATATGTATTGTATTTTTGACTTATAACCTTCATTTTTTCTCGTTGGTTATCTTAATTTCTTAGCATAGTCAACCTGTAACTTTGTTGAGAATTCAGTACGAAGTTGATTCACTATTTTATTTACTTTGTAAAAATTTAGTCATAAATCTAAACATCCTATATTCATATATGATTTGTGAACCCCGCTAAACATAGTTCGTTCATAAAACACATTTGGAGAACTACTGTTTATTGGTTACCGAATCAATATTTCAAATATTAGGATTGGTTCAGTAACGTTCCATTTACATATCAGTATGATTTAACTAACTAAAGGACAACTGATGAGAGATGTGTAAATGATGTATTTAATGTATGGTTTCCATAATTCACCAAGACGGTGTAATTGAGCACTAAACAATAAATTAGTCTTCCCCACCTGAGCTCTCGTTTACCATATATATATGTTTATTTGTTATTTGTAGTACAATAGGGAAATCATTAATGTCACGTATTCGACAATTGTTAAACGCTAATGAAGAACTAGGTCGAGTCAATCAAACTGATCGTGTAGCTAGATTAGAATCAGAAGCTGAATTACAAACAACATGTATGAAAGAATTTATCAAAACCAATGAAGGTATTACATTTTTATATAAAGTTACTAACTTTTTTAAAACAAAAAGTTATTAAGAAAATTCTACTTCAGTAATTGATGGTTCTCACTATGAAATTATTATTAAAATGAGTTAAAATAATTAACCAATAGAACAAACTTCCACAGTATTTTACTCTACTTAATTTCTTCTCATTTGATGGGGGGAGTTTGTGGATATTATGGTAATTTAATAGTTGGATTCATGAGTCAATTAAAGCTAGACTACTATGGAAAACCTGGAAGCATTGGACAGCCATTTCGTCCTAGTTTGGGACTCCTCAGAGATAGTAACTCCCTGAAGACAGTGGTGCAATTTTATGAAGTTAGGCATTAACACCGTTGGATACCGGCCCAATGGTCTAGAGCTTAAGCGATCGCGCGCGAGATCGATAGGTTCTGGATTTGAATCTCGCAGTGTGGGGTCGTGGTCGTGCACTGTCGAGGAGTCCCACAATAGGACGAAACGGCCGTCTAGTGTTTCTAGGTTTTCCATTGTAGTCTAGCTTTTAATTTGTTGACCACATTTTCTTTAAATTTCAAGCATTTGGTTACTACGTTCTGACTGACCATTATTTATATTCCCCTAATCGACATTTCAGACCGTTTTTGTCCAAATTAATGTCACAATGACAAAACGTCTAGATCGGCATAAATTGCTGTAACACTCCGTACATATAGATTTATTCCGTCTCCTTTACTTTCATCAAACTATTTGCAATGGTTGGCCACCAAATGTGAGTCGAAATAAAATATAAAAGTACTTTTGAATTCTCTGGTGTCACCCTTCTAATTAAACATCGATAATAGACTTCACCCTTAACATTCCAACTCCTTTCCATTTAGTATGTACATAATTATTCTTGATAATATGCACCATCGTACTTTATTAACTGTGATAAGATCTATACTTGTCATGGATGAATATTCTACCGAATAACTCAAGTACTTAGATATGGAAATAAACTAATTAAAAGCAATATTCATTAGTCCATTATAGAGTCATTCCTATTTTAGGAAGTTGCCCTATTCTGAGATCTTGTATATTTTAGAAATAGATTCATAAAGCTTAAAGTTATTGAATGTAATTATACCTGGAAAATGGATTGGAATCATTTCCAAAAGATATCCACAAATAGCAGTTTTATTCAACTCTAAAATATTGTTGACTAGTAACACATTTCAAACTAGAAGTTCAAATTACAATTCATTAGGTTAACGAAAAAGAAAGTACCATTCAGTGTAAGTAGTTGTATAATCCTTATCAAGGTAATCTCCGGTTCTAACCGTCGTGATTTTCAATGAACACTGTATCACATTCGTATACTGTAAGTTCTTTTTTTTTTAATCATATTAACTAAAATATTATTTCAAAACTTCTACATATTCTATTAGACATTGAAGGTGTACTAGAAGAAGCCTATACAGATTTAGAAGGTCTTCAGAGTAGTTTGTTAATCTTGCAACAACAAATAAATCACACCGAATCAGTTGTTGAAACTTTACAGGTAAGTAATATGTTGAATAGTAGTATGTAAAAAAATTGTAATGATCGATTTCTCCAAATCAAAAAACATATTTACGATGAAGAATTCTTTTCCAAACTTGTTTTTGTTCTGTTTACTGTTAAGATAGTTCCTCTGAAATGATTTAAATATTAAATACTACCAGGCAACTTAACCAACCAATGAGTGGAACATCTACCAGCTTGGTTTATAAAGGGCCAGATAAGAACATTACGCAGTTCTATCTTGGCACATCTTATTGATAGCGGTCATACTGTAGATAAATCGGAAGCATTTCGAATGATCTATCGTATACCTCCATCATTTCCTAATGGAGTTCGTTCCCATCTCTTACATATAACTGAAGCCATAGGAATTCGTACATTTAATCCCAATTTATGTGTACAGCAGAAATTCGCAGCCCCCCTATCCCTTCTGTGACCAGTTATCACTTAAAAAACGACTTTTTATTTTATTTTTGTTATCATTATCATCATTTTTATATTCCTGTATTTGTTTGTAATTTTTTGCCTCTTTCCGTTTGTATTCTCCACTATCTAATTATTTATACACTTTTTATTACGTAATGGTTTTAGTATGTCGTGATGATTATTCTAAGTCTATTTATCCACACTTGACCTATTTCCAATGTTTAACTATTGATATGGCTTTTTATCGTATTTTATTATTCTAACTACGATCAGTATGCCTGTCTTCCTACTATCAACTTGTACTTTTACCTATTATGTTTGGTGGCTTATTCTAATTCATTGTGATTATCGAGTCAAATTATTATTTATTTAAACACAAACATTGGTACATGGAGGCACCAAATACATATGCGCCACATAAATCATTCGATTTGTGTGAGGGCTGTGATACTGCCCGGGTGCCCAGACCGGAGCAGGTGGTTTTCTTAGGGGGCCACACCCTGAGCCTTGGGCCTGAAGGTCTGACCCACAAGGCAATGGAACATCGTGAGGAGATCCCATCCCATAGTAGCCGGTGACCAACGATCGGTTCATACGCCATTTGTTCCTTTAGGATACTGGAGCCCATGTTCACCATTGGTTTGGAATTCGGCTAAAGTGCCGGACACTCGCTTTTCGTCCTCTCAATTTCGTAAACAACACCCCCTTGACGGGAAGGCGGTGAGTAGGACTTCCCTGGCAGAGGCTGTGTACTCATGGCCATATGAGAGCATTTCGAGAGGGATGCAGAATTTTTTGCCGACTACATCCAAATACCTAACATCAGACTCTTTCTTGTATGTTTAGTTTTATACTGCAGACAACACTATTATTTCACCTTCTTCGTTTATAATCTCAGTTTCCTCTTACACTATGAAGACGCAAATTAATATACATTCGTGCTAGGAGTTATAATGACTGACTGAATAGTATTTATCATTATTTCTGATCTCATAAATGATTGGTTAAAATATTTACGTATATACTTTTCTCTCTACACAGAATGAACTAGAATCACGTCAACCTGGTATAGTCGCTGAACTGATGACTGCAATGCTGTCAAAGTTAGGTAGCGAAACAGAAACCGAAGTTGGTAATGATGATGTTGATAATGATAATTGTAAATCAACACCTGATATACATAATAATCAATCGGAACAGGATGATATGCAAAGTAACACTGATAATGTCAAATTAAATGAAACATGTAAAGAGGAAAAGTAAACTCTATAAACTTTATTTTGTATGTAAATACGTATAATGACTACTGTTTTTTGTACAGACAGATGTTTTTCATGTATTTCTTCATCTTTCATATTACACATATTTATTATATAAAGAGAATTTTGATATTTATTACATTGTAGAGTTTTGGTCACATAGTGTAATTACGTTTAAGTGTTGTCTGTCTGGATCTCTATTATTATATCATTAAATGAAAGTTCTGTATTAGACAGTTCTCTTGTCATATAATGCACATGTAAGAATCAAATAATCGTGAAACTAAATAAATCGAAAAGTTCTGTTTTCAGCGAATTCATTTCCAAAGCTGTACAATTGCAAATATGTATACTTATTTTTACAGGAGGATATTAATTACAATAATAATGATAATAAACTTCGGTTAGACATAGTGACAGTGAGGTAGAATAAATAAAGGTATTTAAAATTTTCTTTTATTTTTAAACAGGGAAATTAATAATGCAAAGAAGATATAGTCTAATTTTCTTTGGAAGACTTCTACTTACCTTGTAGATGACTTTGAACGCAGAGTCTGTCTTGATTGAGATCATGAACCGATTAGTGTTAGACCACCATTGAAAACTTGGAAGCACTGGACGGCCGTTTCGTCCTATTGTGTACATCCAATCCCAACCAAAAACTCAGTAATCTCCACAACACCATACTGATAGTTACCATGTCCTCACTAATGACTAGCTTCATGAGGGGATTCTCGAACTTTTAGTGAGAAGCCGTAACCAGTGGAGCTAATCCGTGTCGGGTAAGGACAGGTATCTAACTCAGTACATTAAAAGATGGTCGCGCAATTTCGTGGATTAGTTGAGGTTAGACATTAACACCGCTGAATACCGACTCAGTGATCTGGGAGTTAAGCGTTCGCGCGCGAGATCAAAGGCCCTGGGTTCGAATCCCGAGGGGCGGGATCGTGGACGTGCACTACTGAGGAGTCCCACGATAGGACGAAACGGCCGTCCAGTGCTTCCAGGTTTTCAATGATGGTGTAACATTGGTCGGTTCATGATTTCAATCAAAAATACTTTGTGCTAATTTCATCTCTCTGTGAAATGAACATTATCTTTACGATATAATTTGAAAATTTACTAACAGAATAATATTTTCATTGAATATTTCTGTTAAGATATTAAAAAGACAATTTGAGTTAAGAAATCTTCCTTTGCAATGAATTCTTCATCAAGGCTCTCGTCTGAAGAGAACTGAAGATGGGTCAACAAGAAGAAATGCTTATCTTAAACTGACTGCACAAACCTAATACAAACACTTCAAATTTTATTCTATCATAACATAGTCAGTCAGCTACAACGTAGGACCAGGCACATATATGCATCGGTCCAAGTTGCCATACCTCATTAACACAACAAGATGGACACCGGATTCATAAAAGTAGTTAATTCTCTTAAATCTCTTTACAATTTCTAGTTTAATTAGCTTATAGAAAGTTATGAGTATTCTAAGTCATTATTTCTGTACAAACGTAATGAACAACATAACATAAAGAGATAGAAAAGGGGGCGGCTGCAGGTAACACAAGACAGCTCGACAGACTAATAAAAAAAACTCGAATTAATAAACCAAGTGTAAGTGAGACTATCTCAGCAAAAGACGACACTCCTATCTGCTCCCAGTTTAGACGTTTAGAACGATGGATGGAACATTTTAAGGAGCAATTCAACTAGCTTTCAGCTACTCTACAACTACCCACCATTTCCGGACCGCGTGAATAGAACATTGAAGTAGGTCCCCCGACTTTATCTGAAGTTCAAAAGGTTATAGTTAATCTGAATCCATTGTTCATCTTGTTGTGTTAATGAGGTATAGCAACTTGAACCGATGCACATATGTGCGTGGTCCTACGTTGTAGCTGACTGACTAACTGACATAACTGAAACGTAATATGATAATAACTGATTAAATAAGTAATATATTACGTATCTATTTATTCATCGCATTATCTTAGACATTTGAAATGCACAGATGAATGATTAAATTCATCAATATACACAACAACAACAGAAAAAAATAGAAGAAAATCATATAAAATACAAAAAAATGTGTAGAATATAAATAATTAGAGAAAGTTCTGTAATTACGGGTAAATTATGAGCTAAAATATAGGAATGTGTATAATAAAGCTAATAAATAATTAGCATTCATATGAGTATATCAGTAGTATATATATATGTATATCCCTTGTAATGTCATAATTTCAGTTGAAAGGAAATTCTTATCAAATAATAATGACAGGATCAAGTGATTCAATAAGAAATCAGAAAATAAATTAACAAATATCTTCTTCTTTTTCTTCTTGTGCATCTCCTTGGTTACCATCTTGTATTGGATTATTTAAATTCCTTGAATTTGTTGATGTTGAAATGAAATTGTCTTTTGATTTTTGTATTTGTTCAGAAACATTATCACTATAAGGGAATTTAATTTCTTTTGCTAGACGAGCATACTATATGTAAGATATATATGTCAAAGAAATAAAATAAAGTATAAATGAACATTGAGATGAAATAATTTTAAACAAAAATGTTATCATGGTTAGTTTTACTTCATCTACATGTATGGGATGGTTAATTTACCTTAGACGAAAATATCTATGCTAGATTCTCTTTCAGTGTCTATTCTACAGGAGTTCAACACAACTCAGATGATCAAGAACACGTGATTAGACTGACTAGAACTTAAATATTTTTCCGCATCAAAAACCTGACACAATCCAACAACAATAAACAATCAATAATAAGTGAGTAATGATAATAAGGATAGGGGGAATATATAACTCATCTAACAACAATCAGACTATCTACATGTCTGGCTAAGCAGACAACCAATCATTAACATTCTCGCCTTACTTACTTACTTAAGCCTGTTACTCCCAATGGAGCATAGGCCGCCGACCAGCATTCTCCAACATTCTCGCCTACATATTAAAAAATTTACTGAAATTTAATGGTTATGAATTTGTTGGGAAATGTTAAGCACTACATTTTAACAAGATAACCGAATGCTACAAAGAAAGGAATGTGTAGCTTAGATTCGCATCCAGATAAAGTAGACGTTAATCGTAGAATTCATCTTCTTTAATAAAGATTAACTTCAAATTGATATCACCCTCATATCAACTGATTCACCTGAATCACATAAGAACGATGGACTTATCACAAAAGAGGAATGATCAGATGGAAAACTACAAATGGTAAGCGATAAGTTATATATGACGCGTACTATGAAAGGAAGTCATTTATGCACTTTTTGAAAATCGCAACCTGCGTGCCTTTATGTGGGGCCGGAAGGACAAACGTCTATATATTTATGAATTGTATACATCATAATTCATACTTATTTTGATATACTATAAAATAGTGTGTATCGTAACCGATTTGAATCATGAAACAGAACATAAATAAATTGACTAACTTAACACATATTGATGTTTGATAAATTCTATCAAACAACCACATCTTAAACTAATTATCACTAAATTAATAGCTTGAAAAGGCTACATTATGATGGTCATTTTACTACATAGTATGAAATTCATCTTAATAAGTTGTCAATCAAATTATATTCACAGTTATACTTTATTGATAGATGTTCCAGTAAGGTTCATAAAAATCATTTCTGACCTTATGAAATCAGTGAGATTTGCTGAAAACTTTGAATAAGTACTTTATCTACTTGATCACATTCAATAACTTTTAACAATTTACAACTACTTATTGCTATATCCGAACGAAGATTAAACCACAAGTAACTTCTGAGACATATTAATTGACTAATATTATCTCTATATTCATTTGGTATAGTTATTCAATAATTAGATTATGTATATTTATATTCCTCTTATTATAAGCTTTATTTTGACCTATAATTTATTATTGTACGATTTACGGTTCTTAAGCTATGTTCAGTTTATTGACTACTGTCTTCCACGTTCACAGCCACTTTTTGGCTTTACTGTGTACAAATGTTATTTCCTATTTTATGGTGCGTTGCGATCTGTTTAATTGATCTATAAACCCAGTATGTCTGAAACAAATTATTCGATTCGCATATCGGAAGCTGGTATTGTTGTTTTGGACTCAAGTGGACGGGCTAGGCGGACATAGAGCCAATAAAGACGCTAGGCTGCTCATACCGGTCGAACGTCATTGGTTTGGCACGGTGTGAAGATCTTATAAGTCGTATTTTGGTTGGTGGATAAATCACGTGATGAAAAGCCGGACATAAAGTCACAACACTTATGATATTTTTAAGGGATGAATCAAATAACTTGAGTGTATTCGAGACAACACTAGCCAATAAAAAATATTGAATTCTTCTACAATGGGGATCATTGTGCGATCGAATAAAAACCATTTTTTGTTCTATTGTCTAACTGTGGCAATTCAGTGTTAATAATTGATTAGATTGAAAACAACAGTCTCATACTTTCATCAGTTTAAATTAAAGTCTCCTGTTCGAATTAATCTGCACCGCGAATCAGTTCAGATTGGAAAAAGTTAAAATTATAAAAGATAAATCTACTGCTTTTGGAAACTAAAATGTTGACCATGAATCCTACGTTTGATGCCTAAAAAGGCTGATGAACCTATTTATTGATAAATTCTAAAATAAAAATATACATTCATTTTTTAGTTGGCTTCCCATAGGTGATCAAGTGTTGTAAACATAATAATGAACTGATGATAGAAAACACTACTCATCTAGATATGATTGTTTTCTTTTGTTTCATTACAGGGTACAGACTTCGCATAACCGGCTTTGAACCACACGTTCAGTGTAATAAGGCTACGTAAAACTGTTTGATTGGTCAAAACAAAGTAGATAAAACATGGTTTGGATGAGCGACTTAGAAGTTGAAAGTTTAAAACCGTAATTATTACTGAGCTACCGCTCTAAAATTGAAGTTTACTACGACAAACATATTTAAATAAAGTAGAATCAATCAATCAATGTTTATTATTTTTGCGTTATAACTATTTTAGTCAGAATTTTTAAAAATGTGGTGATGAGGGATGAACTTCATTTTTCTTACAAAAACCATTCAGTAATAACAGCGAAAATTAAAAGTCAGTGTTTTGTACTAGGAGAAACAATTGGATAAACGCACAAAACTTACATCTAGGTCAAGCATTCTGAAGCACTGATCCTTTATTGCCATTTCACAAGCCTTTTTATCCATATCATCGACGGCAGCTAGTAGTCGCCTCACTGCAGAAAATTCTTCAGCTTCCGGAAATCTCCATCGCCTTAAGATGACAAATAAGAACAGTATGGATGATATTAATGACCACTTCCTTTCAAAAGAAATATGTACAAATGATGAACAGATATTTTTGGTCATCAATGTCTTACTTTTTAATCAGACTTTAAAA